GGAAATCAGAGGTTGAACTGCGGATGCATCTACGATTGCCCAGTTTCGGCATCATCAGCAATCGGTATCCACCTCACATGCCGGAGCCTCCGAAGACTGATCATTCCAAAGAGCCAAAGTGGTTCTACTACATTGCAGATATCTCCTCAAGGCGACTTGACCTGAACATTCATGAGGCGCTCTCGAATATTGCTCGGCGCAGAACATCCCACAGTCGGAAGGTTCTTGCACTGGCACACGCAGTACCTGCATTAGAGGAGCACCTTGAGGGCTGGACCAAATCAATGCCCGTCGTATTTCGCAAGCAAGACTTCGAAGAAAATATTCTTGCTCAAATCTTGAGAGGCCGTGTCCTGGATAGCTATGAGACACTTTACATGCCTTTCCTTCAAGAGTGTGTCAAAGACTATCTTGAAAATCTTGAAACCTCTGCTGTGGTGGAAACTTATGCACGAAAAGCTCTCTGTATTTCCGTCCGACGGCTTCAAGAGCAGTGTCAAGAATTCTCAGCACGGCATCATGGTACCTGGCTTATGCTCCGTGCATGTACACGCAGTGCATTTTTACTTCTTGCTACCCGAGTCGCAGGACGAATAGATCTATTACCAGAAGGCTGGGAGGAAGCCACTAGGACCGCGGCATCGGTACTCAGCATATGGAAGGATGTAGTGAACGACGCTTCGGATCGATTACAGATTCTCCAAAATTTAGCCGAACAGATTAGCCTCAATTTGCAGTCACCCTAGCTACCCCATGGGGCACCGGCAAAATGACTTTGATAATTCATGGCTCTTCGCGGAGTATCGGTCGTCGAGCCTTGGCGGTGTCGGTCGCGGAATATCGGACATATCCTATCCTGCCCAAATCCGGGTACTGCAGAGTATATATGTTCAACGTCTGTTTTCAGAGACCTATCTCCTGAATACTCAGTCTCTTTTGTTCCGTTTCGCAAGATCACCGAAACCTTGCTTCATTTCTCAAGACTACATTCAGATCAGAAAAAATGGCGCCAGGTCTAATTGACTCGACCACTACCACTTCACAGAGCAGGGGCTGGTCAAGATCTCAATCTATACTGCGTGTCTCAGGTACCTCCATTGTTGACGATGAGGGGAAGAAAGTTGTCCTCAAAGGCGTTGGGCTAGGTGGTCTGCTCAACATGGAGAATTTCATCACAGGGTTCACCGGCCACGAGCACGAACATCGAGAGGCAATGGCACATGTTCTTGGAAAAGAGAAGGCCGAATTCTACTTCTCTCGATTACTGGACTACTTTTTCACGGATAAGGACGCCGAATTCCTTGCTTCCCTCGGATTAAACAGCATAAGAGTTCCTATCAATTATCGACACTTTGAGGATGACTTGAATCCCGGCCACATCAAACCAGAAGGATTTCGATTACTAGATCGAGTAATAGAGTCGTGCCGCAAGCACAATATCTACGTCATTATTGATCTTCACACGGCACCCGGTGGGCAGAACCAGGATTGGCATTGTGACTCTGGTCTCACGAAGGCTCTCTTCTGGAAGTTCAAAGAATTTCAGGATCGGGTTGTGAACCTGTGGGTGGAGATTGCTACACGTTATCGTAATGATCCCGCTATCGCAGGCTACAATCCGTTGAATGAGCCAGCGGATTCCGAACATGTTAATGTGGTTGCATTTTATGTTCGTATCGAGAAGGCCATCCGATCAGTCGACCCTAACCATATGCTTTTCATCGATGGAAACACATACTCTATGGATTTCACACATTTCCCTAAGGAACCTCTTCCCAACTCTGTTTACGCTTGCCACGACTACTCCACTTATGGCTTTCCACGGGGCGGCACTTATACTGGCAGCGAAGAACAGAAGGCCAAGCTACGCTCATCTTTTGAGAGGAAAGCCAAGTTTATGCGTGAAGCCAACGTGCCAATCTACAATGGCGAGTTCGGACCTGTATATGCGTCATCAGAAGAAAATGGAATGAGTGCAGAGGAGGTAAACGCATGCCGTTTCGCGCTCGTCCGCGAACAATTGTCGATTTATCAGGAGACGGATGTCAATTGGAGTATTTGGACATACAAAGATGTCGGATATCAGGGCATGGTCCGCACCAACCTCGAGTCCCCAATTATGAAACTCCTTGCACCTTTCCTCCAGAAGAAGCGAGATTTAAGTGCCGATTTCTGGGGCTCAAATGACGACAAGGTGCGCGACGTCTACGATCCGTTCTTCAAGGCGATCAAAGAGTGGGTACCTCAGCATCTTCACAACAAAAAGTACCCGAGCCCGCTCTGGACCATTGAAAGACATTTCGAGCGTGTCATAAGAGAGACGCTTTTGAGCGAGTATCTGGGCATGGAGTGTGCAGAGTATTTCCAGGGCAAGAGCGAGAGCGAGCTGGACGAATTGGCTGCATCCTTCAAGTTTGAGAATTGCGTAGTGCAGGACGCCTTGAACACAATCCTTAGTGAGGACGCTAGGAAAAGCGAGAAGAAGGGGGCATCGGTCTAGATTCGATTTTTGGCATGTTTAGGAATTTTGTAACATAGTTGAAAGGCAGTCGCAGATTAAATGTCGAATGTATAGAGTCTACTTTTCTTTCTGCTGTCTTAGCGCCTGTTCACTGGTTGTCAATGGCCTCCGAAAGAAGTTGGTGACAAGAAAAGGGTCAAAACAGCAGCATATTGCTCCAACCAATTCCACTTAATGACTGCCATGAGCCCAATGAGCACACATCCTGGAGTGCTGCCATTTTCCATCGAATTGTCGAAGGGTGAAGATGAAATACGACCTTGGCCGCTTTGGAGAGGTTGGGGTGGTTCTCCAACCCCGCCCACCTTATCCCCGCTACACGGTCAAGTCGGCTACTCGATCGAGTCGAACATCGCGAATATAGAGGCTGCACCACGCCGAGGAAGACACATGGCATACTCGGAAAAACTTCCGAAACATGTCGAGTCCTGAATCTATTTACTTCTTCACTCCCAAACCCGACTTCACAGACTCAATTGCGGCCTGCTCCGTCGTTCCTTCGACGTCATTATCCTCGGGTATCACTCAAAATGGTCATCTTCAAATCAAGACAGCCGCCTATTGACCGTAAGCCTACACATTGCAGTAGTGATGAAGGTCTCTCTAACAACTGTTGGCATCTAGTTCCCACGGAGCTTACAGACTGGGACTGGCTCTTTGACTCGGATTATTCACCCATCAACAAGTACCCACCAAATGAACTGGCTGGCTTTCAGAATGCGATAACGAAAGAGCGTGTTAACTGGGCAGATGTGAAAAAGTACTCCACGTATATTTCTACAGCTCTGGTCAAGAAGTATGGCCTCAAAATTGGAGAGACCGTGTCGCTTTTCAGCCAAAACACGGTCTGGTATCCAGTCGCCATGTTTGCTGGTCTTCGTGTAGGAGCTAAGATCAGCGGAGCAAGTCCAGCGTACCAAGAAGAGGAGATGACATTCGCCCTGAAAACAGCTGATGCCAAGTTCTTGATGACAACTCCTGGTAGCATCGAAATTGCCGCTGCGAGTGCAAAAGCTGCGGGCCTACCGCTGTCGAATGTGTTTTTGCTCGAAGGAGAGCTTCCAGGTTACACCACAGTTCAAGATCTAATCCGTATCGGCGAATCTTACGGCGAGGCCGGACAATCGCCTACCTTCAAACTTTCGCCAGGTCAAAAGAATAAGGATGTTTGTGGATTCCTATCCTTCTCGTCCGGCACAACAGGTCTACCCAAGGCTGTGATGATCTCCCATCAGAATGTGATAGCGCAATGCCTTCAAATTCAACAAATCACTCCGGTAACGCAAAAGAAGATTATGGCAGTCTTGCCACTATTCCATATCACGGGCTTGGTGCATCAGATGCATCTTCCAGTTCTCCTCAACGCGGAGGTAGTCATGCTTCCGCAATTTACCATGGAGAAGATGCTGGACATCATTTGTGAATACAAACTTCAAGAGCTTCTCTTAGTTCCGCCAATCCTGATCAGACTTGTTCGCGACCCAATAGTCGACAAGTACGATCTCAGTCACGTAACTCGCTTCTCGTCTGGCGCGGCTCCTCTATCAGAAGAAATCATCCAGCTTTTGCAAAAGAAGTTTCCAAACACTGGATTCAAGCAAGGCTACGGCATGACAGAATCTTGCAGCTGCATCACTGCACATCCGCCTGAGAAGTATGCGTATAAATATGCTCATACTGGCGGATCAATCGTAGCTTCCACTGAAGTCAAGATCATCAAAGATGACGGCACAGAAGGCGGCATCGGTGAAGACGGTGAAGTGCTCGCACGCGGCCCACAAATCGTGATGGGCTACCTCAACAACGAGAAAGCCACGAAGGAAACATTCGAGGCTGACGGATGGCTCCACACTGGCGACCGCGGTGCCATCGACGACGAAGGCATGATCCACATCAGCGACCGCATCAAGGAGCTCATCAAAGTCAAAGGCATCGGTGTCGCGCCCGCCGAACTCGAAGATCTTCTGCTTGGCCACCCAAGCGTCGAAGATGTTGCCGTCATGAGCATCAAAGACGACTATTCGGGTGAATTGCCCAAAGCGTACGTGACGCTGAAACCCGGGGTTGAAGAAAGCACAGCAGTAGGCAAGGACATCATCGCCTATGTCAAGGAGAAGAAAGTAAGATACAAATGGATCAAGGAGGTTGAATTCATCAATGAGATTCCAAAGAGTCCCAGCGGCAAGATTCTGCGAAGAATACTACGAGACAAGGAGAAGAGTGGAAAATTCGGCACCGTCATCAAGGACGAGGCCAGAGCGAAGCTGTAGTGTTGGTTCTGTGTATGTTTGCGGTTCGCCGAAGTTAGCAACGCAACCAAGTGGATCTCCTGGAAGAAATTTTCAACGCAACCTCAATCCAGAAATAATTCAGGCATCAAGTGCCGAGCAGATTTACAATATTTGATGTTTATGCTTTGTATATAATATATACAATCGTAAAACTTGTGTCATCTCACTCAATGAGAACTTCTGAAGGTGGTTTTGTAGTGTAGCGGTCATCACTCCGGATTCTGATTGACTCTGAAAATAAGTCCATTCCGGCAACCCAGGTTCGAGTCCTGGCAAGACCTTTTTTCTTTTTGCTACTTTCAGGAGCTTGCTTTTTGTGTGCATCGTGTGTACTTGTGGGTGGCCCGCTTTTTTTTTGGTGGTGACGGAGGACGGCTACCTGAGATTTGATACCGAAGGTGCGCCGTAACAGCAGGCAAAAATCACAGCCAGACATGCCTTATAAGTTCCCCAACGACGAGGATTTCATGAAGATGCTATATTGATACATTCGCGATAATTCTTGTCGAGAGCAGGAAATGCTTGTGTGTATCGAGTTCGTCCAGTGCCAATCAAACCTGCACCTTGGATTTTCGCAAGCCAAAAAATACCACACACCCCTGACTGACTACGCAATCGCCCAACGTAAGAAAGAAAAAAGAGCAAAAAGAAATGACTCAGCCGAGGCTTGAACTCGGGACCTTCAGTGTGAGTATAACATATAATTGCTTAATGTTAGACTGACGTGATAACCAACTACACCACCGAGCCGTTTTCTGGTGATTATATAATTTCTCAGAATTAATCATTATACATACTGGAGAAACAAAGAGATCGTGATGTTGAACTGATATCTGCGGGTTGAGAAGGTGCACTGTGACGCTGAAAATTGGGCTGCGGGTACGTGGGATAGGTAGCCCCACCCTAGGCGAAGTTTCTGCATATTTGTCTAACTAGGTAGCATTCTCATGATCCGATGTCAGCCCGGTAGCTTCATAGAACTAAGGCCATGTTCAAAAGGTCAAAGCTTCTACTGTAGTAATAGATGCGTTGATACCCTCAAGATAGATTAGAGGAGATTTATTTGTATCTGAGCGCCGCATGCCCCCTGATTTCGATGTTCCTTTTGGGTACAGCTATCATCTACATCTGTATCAAGGATCATGTTAGTAGACAAGCTCATTTATAAAGCAAATGGAATGTTCAAGGATTGGTTTAATCCCGTTCAACGCAATTGACATTCTTGATGGTAGATGGCTGAAGCTTCCCCCTTCCTCTACCCAACCCCATCCACACTAATGCTACAAGACTTCCCAAGTCCTCAGTCAGACACCAATAGGATTCACCTCCTATCCCCAACCCCCAAAACACTGTAAGGCAGAATAAAAGAATAGACCCAAACGCCGGCCATGGTAACCAAAAGGAAAAAGAAGCTCTTGCGCTCTTAACTGATATGCAGCTAGGTACGAGCAACAAGGCTTGGGTATCGGGACTGTTTAGCAATTTTGCATGCTGACAGAGAGAAACATTACTAATATGCGGTAAGGTATAGTATATGGCGCTTGCGCGCGACCGCTTCTAGCCTTGCAATGAGGCCCCTGTAGAAATGAAAGTGTGAAAAAATACAAGAGATTGAAATGAAATAGTGACATAGGAAACGGCAGACGAGTTGCTGCAAATGTTGTAAAACGAGAGACTTTTGTAGCAAGAATGGCCCTATCTCTAGGGAGGGTGGGCAGAGGGCGAAGGAAGGAGCAGCAATGAGGCGCCGGCAATACAGAGTGAGGCCGTTATGAATGGCATGCCCGTGTCACATGAGCGAATCGTAACCACCGGGCTGTCATCTAGAAGCCACGGAAGGGATCGTTAGAATCAAAATCCTCAAAGAGGCCACCCGACCGGTTGGACGGGTCTCTGGTGCTGGCGCTCCATTGACTGCTGCCTCGACGACGGTTCATTCGTTGCCTTGCAGCATAGCCTCCAACTTGCTTCGGGTCACCTAGAGCATTGTCGATGAAAGCCTCCATGCGAACAGTGCCCATTGTGTCGAAGAACGTTCGACGCGTGGAAGCACTAGCTTCCGAGGTCCTCGAGCTCATGGCTCCGCCGTTGTAAACGGATGAGGGTACTGACGGCGGTGCTGCCGCGCTGTACATGTCGGAAGAGCCGTTCGAGTAAATAGAAGGTACATGCTGGTGCGAGAAGCTGCGGAACGGAACATTCGGCGGTGGAGCACTAGGTCCAGTGGAGCTCCTCTTCCTTCCATGGTGAGGACCGCGTGGAATTGTGGGAGGGCTTGCCACATCGGGTACAGGTCTGTCAAAGCCACTTAAGGATGGGAGACCTGGTACTTGTTCATTCTGCGAAGCGTAACGTGCCATCACCGGATTCGCCTTGCCTTTAGCTAGGCGCACCGAGTCCTGAACACGACTGCGACGTAGAGTTGCTCCTTGCTGTCGCTGTTGTTCTTCAACAGGTGGCGGCACAGGTGGCATTGCTCCAATGTCTGGAATCGGAGAATTCGAATGGGCCAAAAATGATAGTGCTGTTAACCACAAGTAGTGTCGCTCTCTAGAGACGGTGGTGAACTTGAGTGCACGCGCAGGAGTGAGGATCAATATGGACCTGTTGAAGAGTGTTTCGTTCTTCGGAGCAGGGCAGTTGTCTGCAACATCAAGGACGGATTGGATGACGACTAGATCAAGTTAGTTTTCGATAGACGAGTCGAGGATCAAATCAAGGCTTACGTTTACGCCCACTCTTGCCCATGAGAGCCGAGCCGGATGTTGGTTGTTTACTACTCCAAAGAATTGCTCGTTCATACGGCGAGATCCACACCCAACGCTTATGGCGCACGCCATTGTTAGTTAGCGCGGCCTCTTCATTTGCGCGAGCAATATCTGCAGGCGACTCTGGGCCACCAAATGCTTTCCTCTTTCGAACATATTTCCACATGAACTCGCCAATCATGGATGCAGCAATGGCATCAACAACGCTTGTTTGAGTGGCAGAACTGTTGATTGATCCGTTGGCTGTGTACACAGTGGCACTCGAGAGTTGGTGACGGTGAGCGAAGCCGCGGGCACTAACGATGTCGCTTGGTAGTGGTGGGATCGATGTAGTGTCAGCTATGCTGGGTGTAGCTGGAAGAGTGGGTGATCTGCTACGAGAGCGTGAAACCTTCGCAACCGGAGCCGCTGACCGCACCTTTCGCAGGCTGTCTTTACGCTGATGGTTTACACCATATGGTCGACGACCAGGATATGAACCACTGTTGCGAGGCGTTGGGCTTTGAGAGCCTTCGCTCTTACTGGTTGGTTTGTTCCGCGAACTGGAACGAGTCGGCACAGGGAATGGCGGCTTCGGTATATAATTACTGGAGCCGAGACTTCCTAAACTGGGGCTTCGAGAGCGAATATGCGCTGCGGTACCATTTTGAATCATCGCAGATCGTCGAATACTTGGCTGGCGGCCAATAGAGTTACGTGCAGGCTTGCCTACCTTGGCCGGCCTCTCCATGGAGCTGCGTTTCGATGCTATCGAGTATGCGTTGACGGAGTCCTCAGAAGGCCTGGACGTCGGGGTCGACTCCTTGTCTTCGGGAACTGGTGTTGGTGGGTTGACCGGACGGCCACTCTTAATATTGCGGGAAGATAGCATCGGAGTTGAGTATTTAGGGGCCCTGTAATCGTCGTCGCTGTCTTCACCGTTGTTGTCCTCTTCATCAGAAGACGGTCCATCGAATCCGGCAAATAGACTGCTTGTGCGGAATGGCCTGCTCAAAATTTCGGCCTGGTGTTGGCGAGATAATGGACCATTATCATTATTACCTGGGTATCGATTCTCTACTTTCTTGTTATCAGCAGCCTTCTCGAGCAAGGAGATGAGATCCTGGCGCGCTGCTGGCTTTTTAGGAACAGGCTCAGCATCCTTAGATACAGGCTGATGAGAGTCCTTCCTGATCTCCCTTGCTGGAGTTTGTTTCTCGAGCTTAGGCTCTGGGGTACCTGGCTTGGACGATATGGCAGAAGGAAGCAGGTGTGGAGGAAGTTTGACAGGTCGCTTATCAATTCGAATCGGTTCAGTCTGCATGCCGTAAGAACGGACTTGGGCAGCCAGATCACCCGATGTCTGTGTTGACACTGTCTTGGTTCCAGGTGGAAGGATGGGGTCCTTGGGCGAAGATGGCGCAGAGGTTGGCGCATGAATAGCAATTGATGGAATTGAAATCGAAGCTGGTGGTGGTGCACGTTTGCTCACTTGAGAAATCTCTTTCGGTTGCTCGAGAATGTCGGTCTGAGTGGACGAGGACATCATATCAGCTCGGAAAACAGGCGATATGGGGGCCTGATCGATTGGAATGGTAATCTTCGGCGTGTCTGGAGGGCTCAAGGGCTGTTCCACTGTTTGGACCGAGCTGGATGTCATCAAGCAAGGCGACGGGTCGGCGATTGATGCAGTGTTCAGACGAGGACTTGGTGGGGCAGAGATACGTTTTCGACTTTGGTTGGCTTCGATTTCTGCGACAGTTATTGAGCTCTCGAGCAGTTTCTGCTGGGTCGTCACTTCAATTGTCTGCGACGAGGCTTCCATCATGGTAGGTCTTGTGGGCGAAGGTGGCGGCGACGGTTGCACGCCAGTATCAACATAGATCGGGCGTGTAGGAGGGAATACCAGTGTAATCTCTCGCGGCGTGATTGTCATTGCGGATTGCACTGTTTCATACGAGGTCTTTGGTGGGTCCTCTTCTGTCGCGGCAGGACCATCCCGATTCTGTTGCTGGTGATCGTTGCTCAAGCCCAGGATGCGTTTGGCCTTCTCGTCCGGATACATTGACTGTCGCGATTCAAGAGCCCTTCTTGCCCGCATTTCATGCTCAGGGAAGTCGTCGGAGTCCAATTCCAACTCTCCCAGATCCTCTTCTTCTTCATCAAATATGAGTTCATCTGCTAAGCTGATTCCATTGGAACGACCGTATCCGTCGGTACTCATCAGAGACATGCGATAGCCGCGCCCGATGCTCTTATAGCTGCTGTTGCTGCGATTTCTTGAATGACGTCCAATTCGAGTAGATGGCCTTCGTTGCGGCGAGGAGCGAATGCTGGCTGTATCACTCTCAGGGCCCAAACCATGGTCTCGTACTCCATCCTCCCCTTCGCTGTCTGGAGCAGCCTCTTCGTTAGCAGCCTCTTGCATCGCAATTTCGTCCAACAGCATCTTCAGACGGGTTTCTGAGATGTGCACGCGTCGCTCCAATGTTCGCTTCTCTCCAGCCCATACCTCCTTTTCACCAGCCCACATGTCATGTACTCTAGTGGAATCCTCTTCCTGGCTTTTGGATTTCTTTTGTGCAGCTTCAAGTTTTCCTCTTAAATCGACATTGGCTTCCTTTGTCTTATCCCTCTCGCCAGCGATTTCTTCAAGCGCGGCAAGGGTCTCATTCTCAAAGTGCTGGAGCTGACGTTTTACCGCCTTCCCTTCCTTGGTGGCCGACGATAGCTGCTTCGTAAGCGCGTCATTCTCGTTTCGGACGGCGTGGAAATTCGTTTCTAAATCTTCAATGAACCGGTGCTTCGAGTCGAGCTCTCGCCTTAGATTCAGAATCTCAGAAACCAAGTTTGCGTGTAAAGTAGGAGTGAATCGTCGGGGATCGAGTATTGAAATGTTCTCATTGTTCGCAGCATCTTCCGAGCTAGCCATTGGGTCTGGCGGCAGAGGGGGCGGTGAGCCGGGTGTCTCACTCCCTGGTGTGTCGTATCTTGAGGTTCGCC